GGGAGATGAGAAACTGCAGATAGGAAAGTGACGACGTGGCAAATGGTTATACCGAGAAAGTTACGGGAAGTTGTGCTGCTTCAATCCCATGATAGTTTAAGAGGAGGACATCTTAGAGTTAAGAAGACAATGAGTCACCTACGACAGAGATTTTACTGGATAGGTATGAGGCAATATGTGGAAGAATGGTGCAGGACCTGCAGTACATGTTGTGCTAAAAGGGGACCCAAGCATAAGGGACATGCTCCAATGAAGTTATATCAAGTTGGCGCACAAATGGAAAGAGTAGCCATTGACATTGCTGGTCCTTTGCCCCAAACTCTTGCTGGAAACAGGTACATTTGTGTGGTGATGGATTATTTCACCAAGTGGCCTGAGGCATATGCAATAGCAAATCAGGAAGCTATAACTGTGGCTTTGGCTATTAGTGATTTCTTATTTGGTATGCCATATAAACTGCATTCGGATCAAGGCTGCAACTTTGAATCAGCTGTGTTCCATGAATGCTACAAGTTGTTTGGCATACGAAAGACCAGGACAACGCCACTTCACCCACAGTCTGATGGGATGGTAGAAAAGTACAATTGGATACTTGGACAGGAATTGGCAAAGTTTTGTAATAGCCGCAAAGATGACTGGGATGTCTTACTCTCTCCACTGTTGATGGACTATAGAACAGCAGAGCATGAAGCCACTAGATACACTCCAGCAAAGTTGATGTTTGGTTGGGAACTTCGGTTGCCAGTTGATCTGATAACAGGACACCCACCTTACGAAGAGTTGCCTGAAAATGTGTCGGAGTTCGTGAAAGTGTTATCTGAAAGGATGGATGATATTCACCATCAAGTGCATTCAAACTTGAAAACGTCTGCTGATTCCATGGAGCTATGTTATGATAAGAGATCTACTGAAGTCAGCTTTGTACCAGGAGACAAGGTGTGGTCGTATAATCCCAGGAAGACCAAAGGGAAGTCTCCTAATTTGTCTTCTCCATGAGAAGTCCCATATGACATAGTGGATCGTCTCTCAGACGTGACTTTCCAAATAAAATGTGGTTGGCGATGTAACCCAAAGGTGGTGCATGCCAACAGGCTTTGGAATTATCATGGTCCAGGACATTTCAGTTGGAATGAAAGGAACAATGGAACAAATGACGCTGCTGAAGACGTGTCACCTGAAAAAGCCACTGTCAAAAGAAGAAACTACCCGGTTTTGAGAAGGGAAACAGTGAAGCCCTTAATGAAGTTACTACCACTGATGTGACTATTACTGATAATAGGACATTTCCTGATGGAACAGATGAACCCCACGTGAAGCAGAAACCAACGAGACGGAGACCAGTACGGAAGAAGATACGTCCCGTAAAATTAAGAGACTTTGTTGAATTTTAATTTTGTGTTTGTAAATTCTGTACATATAATTAAGTTATTGTTTATTGGTTTAATGTAAGTGGCTATTGTTCGGAACAAACAATACTAATGAAGGGGCAGTGTTATGACAGCGGAAGTCACATGACACTGGTAACACATCATGAGATTCTCGAAGGATTTTGACTTTTCCTGGCAACTCTATTCTTTTCTAGGCACCCTCTTTTTTGTATTTAAGCCCGGCAAATAAAGCGGAGAGAGGTGGGCAGATAGATAGATATAGAGACAGATAATTGAGTCAAGCGAGCGGTACTGACCGTAAGTAAAGTGCGTGAATCATTGTGAATTATATCATATGTTGAAGTTAAAGTGACTGTGGAAATTAAGTGTATTGCAAAGTTGTATTGAGAAAGAATAAACTAGTTTTATTTAAGAAAGGACTTGTATCGCTGAAGTTCTTCGGAAATAAGTTTTACGGGAAATTAACAAACGAACAAAGACGTATCAATATTAAATATCACCTTTTAACAGTAAGATTTAGTCTTGTTCAATAATTAATAAAGTTAACTACTGCTAATTGGCTTAGTGCTTTAACAGAAGTGTTGTCAATCATACAGTGAAATTTCCAGATATTTTTGGTGTACCCTTTAACAATGAATTTTGTTTTCACAATAAGAGCTATATATTATACACACATTATTCTAGCTTGAATAAACAATGTATAACATGAGGTTCAACATAGGTTTACATTCTATGATAGAAAAGATTTGTTTATTTTTATAAGTTTTGGTCAATTTATTTACAGCAACTCTCATAGCCTGCTATTGTCGAAGATATCTTGCTAAGAAGTTGCTTGAAAAAAGGAGATGGGCAGTCAAAGTGATTCATAGGTAAACATATCAGTGTCATAACCTTAAGTTCAATGAAAAATACCTTATGTTTCTGGGAAACTTGTGTTAACTCCACCTTTGCTATCCTAATAATAAATGTAGTTTGTACCAACTCTAACTTAAATGAAGAAATCACATAGGATCATAAAAGAGGCACAAAACAAGAAGTCTTATAACATAAGTAACTCGGAAAGGTGTGTCTTCATTCTTCAGGAGTCAATTCACTTGTACAGAAAAAGGTCTACCTTCTGAAAGTTTGTGATTTATTTTGGAGTTTCTTGTTTTCTAAATTATTTATAGATACATAATTGTATCAAAACACCAATCATTCAGCCCCATTAAAGGACTTTAATTTTAATTGTCACTTTTTAAATTATCACTATTTTAACTGTTGCAAGGCTGAATCCAAACTTAGCTTGAGGCCAAAATTTGGATCCTACATCAAAAACCAAAGCATTTCCAAGTTTAACTCGTATTTTTGAAACTTTTACCATGCTATAGATACATGCAAAACACAAGATTCAGAAATATTTTATCATATAACACAAGCTCTTAATCTATAAACAGATAAATTCCACTCAATTTATTTCTTATATTTTTCCAGAATTTAAATAAATGTGAGTTCATATCTTAGACAGAAGTATGTACTGACTTCCATCAGACAGCATTGTGTGGTAAACTTCCTCAGACAGTAGTGTGTACTGGACTTTCTCAAATAGCAGCATGTACTGAACTTGCTCCATTAGACAGCAGTTTGTTTCATACAGTTTGTATTCGTTGCATAGTCTTTAAGTCTGTTGTTCATTATTATAATTGTGAAGTCATCCTTTTAAGAAGATAAGTTATGATGAGAATTATAGTGTTGAAGTTGCTCTTTAGAAGTAGAGCTTACATAAAAGGTAATTTGAACTTTCTTTTATGAAGATTTTATTATGTTTTTGTCTGCAATCTAGGTTCATCAAAGGTTTTATCACTAGAAATGAGCCAGAGAATGAAGAGAACAAGCATGTAAGTAGAAAATGTTTACAATAAAAACAGTTGTTCTTTGATTTTTTCAGAGAACTGTGATTTATTAGTGTGATTCTTTTTAATCCTTTTTACCTGCCCTTAGGAATAATGAACGTAATTTTGTGAAAATAATTCTTGGAAGTTTTTGCTACTAAACTAGGAAAGAAGATGTGAAACAACAGAATAATGACCACAAGTATTGTATATTTAATGCTAAACCAAAAGTCGAGTTAATCTTCTTAGTGACAACATTTTACTTACACACACTAATAGAAACTAATAAAGTGTATAAATTTCTCTTGTTTTTATGCTTTATAATATATTGTACTACCGTTTTGTCTTTTTTATCAGTTTGTGCAGTGTGTCAAAGCCGAATATTTGCGTCGTTTAGCCCAAAATCTGCCCAAGAGTGTTCTCGACAAGTCGTGGGCTCCTGCCCCAGTATCTTGCCGTAAGGTTAGAGAATTTTGATACAATCTGTACAGTAAACAGTAGTGTCTTCATCTGATAATCAAAGTAATAGTAAAAATTTCTACAAAACTTCAATTCTGTCTGTGAGGTTTTTATAAAGTGTACAAATATAGTTTAGTCACATAATAAACTATAGCACATTTATAATTAGGCTTATTGTTTAAGTGTCAGTAACCCTTTATTTGCCTCCTAAACTAAGTTTTAAAAACATTTTCCTGTAAATCTATATTTCAAAATGTATTCTGGTATTTTATCAACAAATTTGTTTATGTTTACTTGTTTCTTATTGTGTAACATTGTTTCTTGTCGTAATAGAAAATTCTTGGATTTTAAGTTTTTATGGACAACATCTATTATGGGTTTAGAAACTTGATGAAATTTTGTCTACTCCTATACTACAGGCAAACTTAGCCTATAGAATTAAAAATTCAGTAAAATTCCTTTAAAACAAAACATTTTTTGTGTCCGTGCATGTATAACTATGTAGCTGTCTGCAATTTCTGGTGTTTTTACATAATTTATGTTTTCTATTAAGGCTTCTGAACTGCTCCAAGACATGCATAGAAAGTGGCTGGCAAGAAAATACTGTAAATTCATCTCTGCTGAATCTAAAGCTCAGGTATTATTTGAAACAGCCTAATTAAGTTTGCTGTGTGATTATTCATTTTGTTTCATATTATTTGCTTATTTATGTCTAAGGTGAAGGTACCAAATTACATTCAATAAATAGACAATGAACAGGTTTTACTTTACTATAACTGTCATCATGTTGTACTGAATACATATTTAACCCTCTAACTACGAGTAGGTGAAAGTGTGCATGTCATAACTTTTTGCAGACTTGTATTTGAAATTTAATTTAATTACTTTATTATCAATGTATACGATTAAACTTTACATCAAACATAGTTAATAAATCATATTTTGATATTATGTAAGTTTTAATTTCAAACGAAAATACTTAAGTAAATTCTCAATCTCTGCATGTATGTGTAAAGTGGTTTAATGTGATTTCCGATATGGTACTTCCCTCCACTCACGAGATTAGCTATTCTCGTTCATTGCTACCCTCTATATGCAAACTTTTTATTATGCATGCCACAAGCTTTCCACATCCCCCTATTGGAATCAATTGATTCCAATGTGTGTCTCATGCAAATCATCATGCATCACTTTTCCACCAATAGGAGAATAGTACACTTATGTGACTCCCTCTATGCATTTCTACAGAACTGTCACTTCTTGTTTGGCAGCATTTGCTCTCAGACGTCTTTCTTTTTTCATCTTGGTTAGTGTTTGAGATTGAATTAGTTCTCGAAGTGGTTTAATTTCACATACTCAGTTTTCTTTTTAAAGCATTCAGGTTCAATTATCCTTGTTCTAGTCACATTTATTTCTTACTTCAAATGCTTTTGTCGACTGATACAACATGAATTCTGAAGTTAATGTCACCACTTCGTGTGTCTCACATTCAACAGGCACTTTCCCACAGGCTTAAGGTGCTGGCATCTCGGCAGGAGATTTGTCTACATTTATTTGTGGGGAGATTGAATGTTATACCAGTCAACCTCTATCTACAGACATTGCCCCACTTCCTCCTGAACCTGTGGAACCTGGGCAGGCTGACAAGGACTTTGATCACCTGTTTCCACCTCCTGAATTTGCCATGCCTTCCCATACCCTACCTGAGGACTCTGTTTGGCCTTCCATGGTTTTTTCGGACTTTATTTCTCAGGTATGTGATGTTTTATACCTCGCTCCCATATCTTATGACCCACATCCTTCATTACTGCATGAATATACTTCCCAACCCTATTTGGTTTTTCCCACCATCCCCCGACATTTGGGTTCATGCTGAACAATTTGCCTCTCAGTTGGGTGATGGCATTAGTATGCCTCATCCATCACAGGCTTTGGATCAGTATGCTCTCACATATCATAGAGCTGACGGTCAATATCTTGACCAACAACTGTTGGGTTTGGTTTTATCCATTTGGGGGGTGTGCCCTGAATCTCCCATTAGTCTCACCCATGCCAAACTTATTCGCCTCCATCTTACCCTCATGACTCTTTTGCGGTACCTTTCCACAATCCATCTCCTGTCTGAGGCTCTTCACAGAAATTCTGAGGGATTTTCTGGGGATATCCTCTCCCACCTTACCTCCATGTTGGCTCATTTTTTCACTTCAGCTCTGGCTTTACAAACATGGTTTATCTGTTGTTGGGACCTTTTACGTCGTGATGCAGTTTTATCTAGAACCTGTTTACCTGCTCCTTATCTCCGGGATTTGTGTATGGCTCCATTTTTCAAGTGTTTTGTCGTTGATACAGAGTCCCCAGGTTGCATCTGTCCAGCAACATCCTACCTTCCCCATCTGGTAGCCCACTTATCTCAGTCGGAGCCGAGTGTGGCACTGATTTCAGTTTCACGTCCTTCTCCTTCCCACCCCTTACCTGTCCCTCTTTCTTGCAGTGCCACAGCTCGTCATTTTTCTTGATGATGCACAATGTGCTGCCACTAGTTCTGGTGACTACCTGGTGGGAGCTCAACTTGTGGCCTTTATTAATCAGTGGCATCCTTTCATTACCGATGCTTGGACTCTTCAAGTTTTGTCAGAGGACCTAGAAATTCCATTTCTTGCCCCCCCACTTGTCCCAGGTACCTGTTTCCTTCACATCTCCTCGGGATCTCATAACTTGCCAGCATCTATTAGAAGCAGTACAGGACCTTTTCACCTACCAGGCTATTGAACCTTTTCCACATTCACCAGGGTTTAACTTATGTCTGTTTGTTGTTCCAAAAAAGACCAACAACTGGAGGCCTGTCATTGATCTGGCCCACCTCAATCGATTTGTTCACCTCCCACATTTCACCATGGAGTCCTCACTCTTCAGTGGACATTTTCTCCATGTCTCTGGATGACCAGGATGGGCATCTCCAATGCTTATCTGCATATTCCCATGTCAGTACAAATTCGTCCTTATCTTCTGTTCGTCCATTGAGGGGTGGTGTACCAATTTTGCACCCAACCCTTTGGGCTGGCTTCTGCTCCTTATGTTTTTGTCAGGTGTTGTGACCCTTTTCTCTTTATCTTCATGCCCTGGGGCAGCATTTCCATTTTTACATGGATGACTCTTCTGGCCCATTCTGAACAGGGGTCAGCTAGTCATACTCGTCATCTCCTTCTCCAAGCTACTTGGGTAGGCTAGTTGATCAAATTGGAGAAGTCCTTCTTGCATCCTACTCAATACCTCTCCCTCTAACGAATCCCTCTCAGTTGTGCATACATGCACTCCCTTCAGTGAGCTCTGCACGATCAATGGAGCATTGCTCATGAGCCCTGGATGCTCCCATAACACTTCCTCCTTCCCTTGTAGGCAATCTCCTGTGGTTGTTGGACAAGATTCACACATTGGCACATGTCTCACTTCCTCCTCCTTGTCCAGATTTACATTTGTTTATGGATGCATCCCTTCAGGGCTGGGGTGCATGAGTTGATTACCAGGAGGCTTCAGGTCATTGGTCTGTCGATGAACAGTGTTAACTTATCAACATTCTAGAGCTCTTAGCCATTCGTTGGGCTTTGGATCACTTTCTTCCCATTGCCAGACATTGTCTAGTAATGATCCATTCTGACAATTCAATAGTAGTGGCTTATATCAATCACCAAGGTGGCATCTGGTCGAAATCCCTCTGTTTCATACATTGGATCTCCTATATTGGGCCCACGTGCAACACATTCATTTAATTGTGTCATATCCTGGATGCTTTTAACCTAGTAGCGGATCATCTTTCCCACCCCAAGAAGATTTATCCAAGATTAACCTTGTTTTCTGGTGGCTTTGCAATCTGTGAGGTTTTCCTTACATTGGTGCATTTGCCACCATCCTAAATCACCTGTTACCCTACTTTTGGTCTCTTGTACTTCATCCTCAGGCTTTGGCTATGTATGCCTTCAGCCAGGATTGATCACACAAATACCTATATATTTATCCTCCTGTCTGATTGCTTCATCAGGTGGTTTCCCTTATCCATGCCACTCTATGCCAGGTCCTTCTGATTGCTCTCTACTGGCCTGCTCAACCATTATTCCCTCCTGTATCACTTCTATTACTACCCAACCTCCTTCGTCAACCCCAATCACTGGTTCTGCATCTCACACTACACGTTCTCCGTCTTCACGCCCGGCTTATGTCTAGTCTTTGGTGAGGAGATCTGGTTTCTCCTGTCATGTAGCTTTACATTTGGCTCAAGCCATCTGTCCTTCCTCCATGGAAGTGCATCAGGAAAAGTGGAAGGTCTTTGGCACATGGGCCAGGCTCGGGGATTTCCTGCTGCTCACATGGCTTTTCAACCAGGGGTCTTCGGTTTTCTAAATTTCAGGTTATCGGGCAACTTCATCCCACACCTCTCATCTTTCTTATTACTGCAGGGTTTTTCTCTCACCTGTCCTTACCATGTTAATCTATTCTTTCTGGATTCATCGACCTCCTCAGCAACCTGCTCTTCCAAATTGAGACATTAATGTGGTCCTCCAATTCCTTTATTTTACCTCTGTTCGAACCTGTATCCTTGTGACCTGTCCCTTAAGGCTTATTTCCTTCTCCTCTTGGCCTGTGGACATCGATGGTCTGACTAGTTCATCATTGATGTTAAACACACACTTTATCACCATAACTATCTTCTCCTTTATCCAGAGCATTCCTCCTTCCCAAAACCTCAGCAGCTCGTGAGGGTAACTCCTACTTTTTGCCTATTTCCTTTCACTCTACTTCCCATCTCTATCCACGTTCTGATCCAGATAGACTTCTATGTCATGTGCATGCTCTTCGTTGTTATATTGCCTGCATGGCTTCCTTTCATGGTTCCTGTTTCAGTCTCTTTATCCCGTGGCAACCATCTTTGTCCAGAGATCTCTCCCCTTTTACCCTCACCAATTGGGTTTGTTGTTTGATCTAGTTGGCTTATTCCTCCTTGTCCCCTTCCCACCTTACTTTGTTCTGTGTTACCTCTCATCAAAGTTGACACCTCACCTTTCCCTTGCTTCTCATCTTCGTCAGCCTTTGGATGAAATCCTACAATTGGGCATGTGGACCAACCCTAACATGTTCATCTCCCATTATTTACATCTTATCGCGGTTTTGGCTTCCTCGGGCTTTCCCCTTCCATCTGTGGCTATAATACTTCAGACTTTGGTATGACTCTGACACTGGGTAATTCTTTATTAATAGTTTCTTTTCTTTCAGGGGCCAGTTCTTCATTCCTTCATTACATGGATCCAATTCAGTGGTAAGTGGTGCCTGACCAGGTATTTTTTAACTCTAAATCTGCACTGTATTCCATATTGACTAGTGCTTTCCTTTCCATGGCTTCACACACTCATCTTTGAGATGAGGTGTTTCACAAGATCACTTGTAGGTGAATAACATTGTGATATTTGCTTCACACATCGGCCCATCCCAGACCATACCACCCATGGACTTCATGGGTAAAGCAGAAGGGGATAGCTACCCATCTCTCCCATGCCTTCATTGAATAAATCAGAGTGGTCTGCTTTTCAAAATAGTTTCCTGATCACCAATTCTACTGTCTCGGATGTTGACATTCCTCCGGGCTCTCCAATGCATTCTCAGCCATCCTTTTCTTCTAGTGGAGTATGGGAGTCCTTACCAGTTCCAAGTTGATTGGATGGTCGATTATGGAGGTACCATGTTGGATAAGATGGCTATAATCAATCAGTTCAGAGGAGGGTGGAGGTGTTCTGTTGGTGTAAATGATGTAATTCCATACCACTGAGCATGACATCAAAATGTAGCTCATCCCTTCAATTGGGAGCCCTCATACTATCTTTGCTTGGATGTCAGTACCCCGCAGGCTAGTTTTGTATTTTGAGTGAACCAACCAACATAAGTCCCTCACACAGATTTAGGGTTGTCTATCTTCCTTCCTCGATTTCCTCCTCCTGTGTTGTGGGTCACAGCAGGGATCTGTGGGATTATACCTGTTCTATCCTTGGCTCTACCTCATTCTATCTTATTACATGGATGTTATTGCCATTTGGATGGTCCCAACCAGTTTCACGGTCACGGGAGTTGATTGTATGCGATAGACTTCCTTTTGATACTGGATGTCAAATTCCCTGATCTATTGCTCAGCTAATCTTGTGTAATACCTGGGAATTGGAATGGTTCTCAATTCCCTGGTTCTTGGGTTTGAGGTGAAGATGGTACAATCCTTATTCAACCCTTGTGCAGATGTTGGTACCCCGTGAGGAGGTTTTGTATGGATAGGATCACTTTCCTACTGCATTCTCTCACATTTGGATGTGCTCCTCTCATTTTTCACCATGATTTCCTACACATTCCACATATGGGTGAAGAAGTATACATGGATCAGAAGTGGTGCAGTTCCTCTCTTTGGATCTTTGGATCTGACTCTAATATACTAAAGTATCCTCCAGATGTTTTTGGAGGGTATGTCTGTTCTTCCCTCACACCGATCCCTCCTCCTAATCACTGTGGTATTCTAGTTAATCTTCTGAGTAGAGGGAAGTACAGTATTGGAAGTTATAATTTTCCTATACTGAAAATGTATTTCTGATAGGTATTTCCCTCCATTCACACTACCCACCCTTCCACCCCACTCACTTCCAGTGCTTCCGTTGTCTGCCATACTTCAAAGAATTGTTTGGTAGAGGCACATAGAGGGAGTCACATGCATCATTTGAGTGTACTATTTGCTTATTGGTGAAGAAGTGATGCATGATAATTTCCATGAGAGACATGTTGGAACCATTTGATTCCAATAGGGGGTATGGAAAGCTTGTGGCATGCATAACAAAAAAGTTTGAATATATAGGGCAGCAATGAATGAGAATAGCTAATCTTGTGAGAGGAGGGAAGTACCTATCGGAAATACATTTTCAGTATAGGAAAATTATAAAATTTATTCACTCTCATTTGCCCCTATATGACGTCCGGAGTTTAAGGTAAATTACTCATTATAGTATAGCTAATTATCAAGGCATAGTTTAAGTTTTTATAGCCTTCAATCTGTTTTGTTTACATAAATTTAAACCACAAAACCAAACCCACTTGCCATACCTTTCTATCACATCCTCTCTTTCACAAATTAGCAATAATTCTCTCTGGTATTTGTTATTGTATCATTTATAACCATTAAAAAGAAAAATTTAAATTTACCAAATGATGTATAATTCTACTTTGTTCTCAGTAGAAATTTTGAGTTATTTTGCCTTGAAAGTTGCTGTTGCCAAGTTCAGATTGAATAACCACGTTGCATGATACTATTGTTTTATATGTTTTTAAGGCTGTACTTCATGTGATACATAAACTCTTGTTGAAAGAAACCAGGTGCTATCAAAATGTTGGAGTATGTTTTTAGCTGGTTCATCTTAACTCATGTGTAGGTTTTTTTTACTCATTAAGTTTGTAGCTTGATTCAGATGCTAAATGGTGTGTATTTTGAATAAAAGGTTTCTTATTAGTTCTTTTCTGCCATATAACGGTAATTATAAACTTATTTGCAGCTTGACCAGAAAGTTGTTGCTGATGACTTGTTTAAGAACAAGAAACAAAGCTATTCTCAAAGTGTGCCAAAGCTTTTTGTTGAAAACAGGCTAAGTAAGTTTTACTTTTTGTGATCAAACAATTGTGAGTTAAAAGAAAGCAACCAAATTTATTTTTCTTATCTGTAATGTAAATCTTCAGAATCTTTACTAAAAGCATCAAGCACTACAGATAAATAGAAATAATTCTGCAGAAGTAAAAACTGAGACTGAATGAGATTCAAACCTGAGATTCTGCTTAGAGTACAGGTTTTTTTAGCCACTTAATCTACTGCATTTCCAATACTGCAAAGATTTTACAATCAATTAAGGTAAAAACTAAGATTTGTGATGTGTGCCTTTTTTAAAATTTAGATAACTTAAATGCTTTAAACTCAAATTCCATCCAAAAATGGTAATAAATTAATCTTGCACCTTACAAGGTAATTTGCATACTTACAGGGTCTTTCCCACTTTCCACCCTGGTTTTCTTGATCCTTTGACTACAATGTACTCTTTAACCCTTTGGAGATGGGTGACGGGTGAAAGGCCATGTCATTGTGTTTGTTGACTCGCTTTCAAAGTTTTATTGAACTACTATTTCATGAATTTATGTCAGTAAGTTTGGTATCAAATTGTAGATTATAATTCAAATTTTAATTTTATACTTCAGTTAATTTCTTAATTTAAATGTAAATATATAAAAAAAACACAGCTAAACATCAATTTTTGTGTATCACGTGGTATGTTGAATGCAGCACTGGTTCAAATTAGATGTTTGCGATGTCAAAATACTAAGTCTTTAGTTTTGTATGAATTAGGAATTCAAATTACTGATATTGACAAACTAGAATATAAAATAAGAGGCTCTTATATTTTCAATTTGCTAAGATATTACTCATGTAATAAATCAAACACAGTGGGACCCTGTCTACCTCTTTCCATTTTTGGAAATGGTCCTTTATATACACTTACTTCTATATATGACATTACTAACCAATCAGAAACTGGGAATGTCCCCTTAGTGGCTTTATGAGCCATTTTAACGGCCTTGAACACCATTTCTTTCGAACCAAGATTTCAATGAAGTTGGTTGTGTCTTTGGTCTGCTCAAAATTTCATAATTTTTTAGACTGAAATACAGCTGCGTTACTAAACTTGATAAATTATGGTAGAATTTTGTGGTATTGATATAGCAGTTTATGATTTTTTGGT